GCCTCCTGGGTTCAGGCAATTCTCCTGCCTCAGCCTCCTGAGTAGCTGGGATTACAGGCATGCACCACCATGCCCAGCTAATATTTTGTATTTTTAGTAGAGACGGGGTTTCACCATGTTGACCAGGATCGTCTCGATCTTTTGACCTCATGATTCACCCGCCTCGGCCTCCCAAAGTGCTGGGATTACAGGCGTGAGCCACCGCGCCCGGCCTCTATCTATTTTTTTTTTGCCAGACTCACTGGTTATTTCATAAGACCACCTTATAAATGACATATCACTTTTATCTTGTAACTCCTAAGATTCTCTTCTTGTCTTTGACTTTTGAAACTTTGCTTATATGTGTCTTGTTATAAATCTCTCTGTGTGTATCCTAGTTGAAGCTTGTGGAACTTCTTCCATTTTTACATCCTTTTACTTTTGAAAATTTTCATCATTGTATTTTTCACCTTCATGACTTTTGTTTTTTATATTTTTAATGTTTTCATTGATACTGTTATTTTTCTGATTTTGTTCATTGGGTTTCTGTTTCACTCATTGAGCATTATTTAGGTTAAATTTTTTAAATTTGAATGTCCATTATTTACAGTTTTCTGAAATTAAATTTTTTTTTTTTTTTTTTTGAGACAAAGTCTCACTTTGTCACCCAGGCTAGAGTGCAATGGTGGGATCTCAGCTCACTGCAACCTCCACCTCCCGGGTTCAAGCGATTCTCCTGCTTCATCCTCCTCAGTAGCTGGGACTACAGGCATGTACCATCACGCCTGGCTACTTTTTGCATTTTTAGTAGAGACAAGTTTCACCATGTTGGCCTGGCTGGTCTTTAATTCCTGACCTCACGATCTGCCTGCCTCGGCCTCCCAAAGTATTGGGATTACAGGTGTGAGCCACCGCACCTGGCCATTTTTAATTTTTTTAATTGGGACATGTTGCCCTAATACTTCGTCTACTTTGTAATATTGTTATTTGAACATTAACTAAAAGCTATTTGTCACAGTCTTTACAATGTTGCCTTGTCCTGACATAGTCTGAAACCAATTGTCTTTTATAGAGATTATGGGAGCCTCTCAAGCATGTTGTAAGGATGTGTCTTTTTTTTTTTTTTTTTAGTTAAAATAGTTAGGGTTAGGGTTAGGGTTCATGTTTCTTCTTATATAATCACTTGCTCTACCTGTTCCTTGTATTTAGCACTGCGGTCTGCTCATAAAACATTTGCCTTTGATCTCAGTAGACTCACCACCATTTCTTTCAGCACTGTGTTATTGGAGACAGAAACTCACTTTTGTAATAATCCCCAAAAGCCAGATGTTGGAATAAGTGTGTCATTATTTTTTCTCTAAGGAGACAGGTGTTGACAGTTTACTCCTAAAAGCACAATGATATATTTGTGAAGAGGAAGAGCTGCAGTGGATAAATGTAACACATTTTTCTTCCTGTTTTATGTGGCTCTTGGCATTGTGCTTACCTGAGGCATTGCACACAATTAACTCATTTATAGATTTCACAAAAAAGGCATTTTGTCATTGTATTTGTATTATATATGTCTATAAAGAAATTATAGCCTGTGATATTTACTGATCATCTTACTGATGTACTTTGTATAATTTTATATATTAGATTTGTAAAGTATATTTATTTTTTTCAGACAGAGCTTCACACTGTCGCCCAGGCTGAGGTGCAGTGGCGCAGTCTTGGCTCACTGTATTCTCTGCCTCCCAGGTTCAAGCAATTCTCCTGCCTTAGCTTCCCGAGTAGCTGGGATTACAGGCATGTGCCACGGTACCCAGCTATTTTTTTGTGTGTGTTTTTAGTAGAGACAGGGTTTCACCATGTCAGCCAGGCTTGTCTCGAACTCCTGACCTCATGATCTGCCCATCTTGGCCTCCCAAAGTGCTGGGATTACAGGCGTGAGCCACCACACCTGGCCTGTGAAATACATTTATATGAATCTAGTAAGTGGGATAATTTGTTATTTTTTTTCTTTCAGCTGTGTGTTCTCATTTCACCCAAGACCTTTGGCCAGAGCACAGCATAGAAGATTCATTCCACAAACTTATACTGAAAAGACATGAGCATTTAAGAAAAAGTTTTAAAAGTGTGAATGACTGTAAGGTGCAGAAAGGAGGTTATAATGGAATTAACCAATGCTTATCAACTACCCAGAGCAAAATAATTCAAGGTAATACATGTCTCAAAATTTTTAATGAATATTCAAATTCAAACAAACATAAGATAAGACATACTGGAGAGAAAACCTTTAAATGTAAAGAATGTGGCAAATCATTTCACGTGTTCTCAAGCCTAACTCAACACAAAAGAATTCATACTGGAGAGAACCCCTACACATGTGAAGAATGTGGCAAAGCCTTTAATTGGTCCTCAGTTCTTACTAAACATAAGAGAATTCATGCTGGAGAGAAACCCTACAAGTGTGAAGAATGTGGTAAAGGCTTTACTCAGTCCTCACACCTTACCAAACATAAGAGAATTCATACTGGAGAGAAACCCTACACATGTGAAGAATGTGGTAAAGCTTTTAACCAATCCTCAACCCTTAATTTACACAAGAGAATTCATTCTGGACAAAAATACTATAAATGTGAAGAATGTGGCAAAGCCTTTAAGTGGTCCGCATCCCTTAATGAACATAATAAGAGAATTCATGTTGGAGAGAAACCCTTCTCATGTGAAAAATGTGGCAGTGTCTTTACCACATCCTCAGACTTTGCCAAACATAAGAGAATTCATACAGGAGAGAAACCCTACATATGTGAAGAATGTGGCAAATCCTTTAATAGGTCAACAACTCTTACTACACATAAGAGAATCCATACCGGAGAGAAACCCTACACATGTGAAGAATGTGGCAAAGCCTTTAATTGGTCCTCAACCTTTAATGTACACAAGAGAGTTCACTCTGGAGAAAATCCCTACAAATGTGAAGATTGTGGCAAAGCCTTTAAAGTGTTTGCAAACCTGCGTAAGCATAAGAAAATTCATACTGGAGAGAGACCCTACGTATGTCAAGAATGTGGCAAAGCCTTTAAACAGTCCACGCACCTGAATAAACATAAGAAAATGCATACTGGGGAGAAACCCAACAAATTTAAAGAATGTGGAAAAGCCTTTAAGCAGCGCTCCAACCTTCCTCAACATAAGAGAACTCATACTGGAGGAAAATTTTAGAAAAGTGAAGAATGTGGGAGTCTTTAAGTATTCCTCAATCTTTTCTAATCATAATTCATACTGGAGAGAAACTCCACAAATGTGAAAAATGTGACAAACCTTTTAACCACACCACAATCTGTTCTAAACATAAGAGAAATGATATTGATGAATAGCCATTAAAAATATGAAAAATGTGGCAAAGCCTTCAAATGCTTGTCACATCTTACTGTAGGTAATTTTTATTTTTGAGACAGAGTCTTGCTCTGTTGCCCAGTGCTATGGTGCAGTCTCAGCTCGCTGCAACCTTTGCCTCCCGGGTTCAAAGGATTCTCCTGCCTCAGTCCCCTGAGTAGCTGGGATTACAGGCACCTGCCGCCACACCTAGCTAATTTTTTGTGTTTTTAGTAGAGATAGGGTTTTACCATGTTGGTCTTGAACACCTGACATTGTGATCCACCCACCTCAGCCTACCAAAGTGCTGGGATTACAGGTGTGAGCCACTGCACCCAGCCTTACTGTATGTAATTCTTACTGAAGAAAATCCCTAGGAATATAAAAAGTGTGACAGAACTTTTATGCAATGCTCATATCTTTTGCACATTATAGCATGTATACTTGAGAAAAACCGCACAAATATAAAAAATGTTAAAAGCCATTAATATCTACTCATGTGTTACTAAATATCAGAAAGTTCGTACTTAATAAAAGCATTATAAATCTAATAATTTGTTGAAGGACCTTTTAGAAATATGGGTCTTCAATGTGAAGAATAGTATTCTGAAGACAGACAATACAAATAGAATACTTGCATCATGGATCCTGTACTTGCATCATGGATCTTGTTGTGCATATTTTGTACTAGAGGAGCACCCTGAAGCAGTTGCCCGAACTTCCTTCAACATCAGATAATTTACATTGGAAAGAAATTCTACAAGTGTAATAAATTTGAAAAAACGTTTGTTCAAAAACTGTATATTAAGAAATACCAGAGAGTTTATACTAGAAGATATTTTGTAGATGCAGTAAATATGAAAAAATATTCAGTCTAAAGACTATGTAAACATTAAAGTATTTACAGTAGAAAGGACTAAGGCACTAGCACTTGAAACATTACAGTAAATCAGAGTGTTAAACTCCAAAGCTGAAATTTAACTTTTTTTACATGTAAGTTGAAAAGGAGTAAATTTTTGAAGTTATTCCATTGAAATTATACTTTTTTTACTTGAAAAAAATCAGAGTTTTTGAAAAGCAATTTCAACTCTAAAATTACTTCATACTCATTCAACTTTCTTATTTATATGAAAGCATGTGGTGAATTGTTGCATCAGAGATATGAGAGATTCCTTTTAGGTAGGCATCATTCATGAACTTTTACATGAAAGAGTAAAGCCATTGAAATGAAAGATGCATGAAATGGTGCATGAGGTAGGTGTTCTGAGTAATATTCTTCTGCATTACAGTGAGAGAAAAACAATCTGAATTTTAGTAGTAAATTGTTTTACCAATTGTAAGTTTGTGTAATAAAAAGCAGTAAATTTTTAAATTCTGTTTTAAGAATCTTAAATTCTCTTTTAAGGACTTAATTTTTTAATTAACAAAATTGTTAATGTGTTGAAATTACTGTGTCTGGAATTAAGTATTATGCCACCAACTTTCAGTTATCCTACCGTATTCAGTGGTGTAGGTAAAAGATGATAACAGTGTACTTTTTGGTAATATAGTTTAATGACATTTCTAGTAATCTCTTTTCCAGTGGCTTTAACAGCAAATAAATTGAAGAATATTGTTCCCATGTTAAATTGTTAGTTTTCCTTATTTAAGTTTTTTTTTTTAAATTTCTGTGGGTACATAGTGTGTGTATATATTCATAGCATATATGGGTTACTTCATACAGGCATACAACATGTAAAATCACATCATAGTAAAATGAGTTGTTCATCACCTCAAGCATTTATCCTTTGTATTACAAATAATTCATTTATACACTTTATTTTTAAATGTACAATTAAATTATTTTTATAGGTCATTTTATGTTTGTATTCAATATTACATCAGTATAATTATAATTTTTACATTTCTGATTCCTGAATAAATATTTTTTTAACTGTTCCATATTTTCGTTTCGACATGTGGCATCTCTTCTGGCAAACATGTATAGACTTTTGATTTTGATTTACATGGAGATAAATATATAAATGTATTGCTCTAAGACCAACCTTAGGTGTAAAAAAAAATTATAGAGCAAGCAATTGTGTTTGGAAGTTTGTAGCACTTTTTTAAAGAAAATAGCAACATTGGAATAAGAAATATTCTTTTAATAATATGTATAATTTACTAGAAATTTTAAAACCTAAAATATTCTGGAATCAAATCTATACTTTGTATTTAATTAATTACTGTAAAATCTCATGAATCATAGCCAGGCGCAGTGGCACATGCCTGTAATCCCAGCACTTTGGGAGGCTGAGGTGGGCAGATCACGAGGTCAAGAGATCAAGACCATCCTAGCCATCATAATGAAACCCCGTCTCTACTAAAAATACAAAAATTAGCTAGGTGTGGTGGCGCACGCCTGTAGTCCCAGCTACTTGGGAGGCTGAGGCAGGAGAATCACTTGAACCTGGGAGGTGTAAGTTGCAGTGAGCTGAGATCGTGCCACTGTACTCCAGTCTGGCGATAGAGCAAGACTCCATCTCAAAAAAAAAATCTACTGAATCATTGAGAATCTCCTTATGCAAATTATTTATTTTGTCTGGTACTCATGCTAGAGCTATAATTCACTTGTTTCTGGTTTTTTTGTTTTTTGTTTTTTTTTTGAGACAGAGTTTTGCTCTTGTTACCCAGGCTGGAGTGCAATGGCGCAATCTCAGCTCACCGCAACCTCCGCCTCCTGGGTTCAGGCAATTCTCCTGCCTCA